AAGTTCGGTAATGATAACGTAAGATAATCTACAGATGAACAGTGTTGAATAAAGTGGACAGTCAGTGTAAGATACATGTAAGTTCGGTAATGATAACGTAAGATAATCTACAGATGAACAGTGTTGAATAAAGTGGACAGTCAGTGTAAGATACATGTAAGTTCGGTAATGATAACGTAAGATAATCTACAGATGAACAGTGTTGAATAAAGTGGACAGTCAGTGTAAGATACATGTAAGTTCGGTAATGATAACGTAAGATAATCTACAGATGAACAGTCAGTGTAAGATACATGTAAGTTCGGTAATGATAACGTAAGATAATCTACAGATGAACAGTGTGAAATAAAGTGGACAGTCAGTGTAAGATATATGTAAGTTCAGTAATGATAACGTAAGATAATCTACAGATGAACAGTGTGAAATAAAGTGGACAGTCAGTGTAAGATACATGTAAGTTCGGTAAAGATAACGTAAGATAATCTACAGATGAACAGTGTAAAATAAAGTGGACAGTCAGTGTAAGATACATGTAAGTTCGGTAATGATAACGTAAGATAATCTACAGATGAACAGTGTGAATAAAGTGGACAGTCAGTGACGTTAGACAAATAAGAAGCTAAATCTCGAATGTCAAAATGTGAAGTAATTTAATAAATATGGGGACGAAGGAATTTAAAACAAGTCTGCCTGAAACGAAATAGTTGGGTGGTAAAAATGCCTAGAAAAACAAGTATTGATAGCATCTAAAATATGATAGTAAGCAAACCAATAGCTCCGTCATAAAAAGGTGTGTTATTGTAACCTAAAAAATTAAGCATTAAGAAAAAATGTGACTGTGCTAAAACCATGAATTGAGTTCATGATATCACACTTAGTTAACGTAGAGCAATTGAATTCTGTGGCGACATCTAGCAGCATGGTTATAATGCAAGATTTACGTGACTAAGGGTACGTTTTTTTGTTTTTAATACAAATACAGCGGTCATGTAGAACGAGTATTCTATTCTTTATTTTTGGTCAATGAAAATAATATTCATACACAAGCGCCACTCTTTTAATTTTCTATTTGTAAATTTAAGTCGAAAAGATAAAAAGCGTGCATTTTCAATTTAAGTACTCGTCAGTGAAACGTGTTCTAATCGCTCCAGTTAAAATTATTGAAAAAAAAAAAACTTTAATAATTTCGTATGTTTGTTTTAAATTTCGAGCAAAACTACACGAGGGCTATCTGCGCTAGCCGTCCATAATTTAGCAGTATAAGACTATAGGGAAAGCAGCTAGTCATCACCACCCACCGCCAACTCTTGGGCTATTATTTTTACCAACGATAAGTGGGATTGACCGTCACATTAAAACGCCCCCACGGCTGATTCGAACCCGCGATTCTCAGATTGCGAGTCGAGCGCCCTAACCACCTGGCCATGCTGGGCCTAATTTCGTACAAGTAAAGTCTGTCAAATAATTAGTGTTTCATCATTTTACAAGTCCGTCTTTGTTCTACATGTGATAAATCATGTATTATATACTCCCCTACAACTATGTAACTAATATTTTGTATCTTACACCATGTATTTCTATATACGTTTTTTAAATGAATCTATTATGGTAGAAAAAAAAAAAGGTCACAAAAATAAAGTGTTGCATCTCTGAAACACCAAATTATGTAATCGTCCTCTCTTGTAGGAATTAAGAACATTTGGAATCCCATTATCTTCGGCGTTTACTCTACGGTATTCAATATTAATGTAGTTTCTTACTATTTGTTTGTTTGTAATTAAGCAAAAAGCTACACAGTGAGCTATATGTGCTCTGTCCACCATGGGTATGGAAACCCGGATCATGTAGCTTTGTAGTAAAACAAAACCAAAACTGATAACATAAATAATAATCTCCACCTCTATAGGAAGTGTCAAGAGTCGTTTTTGCCAAAAGAGTCTGGTAACTCAATTTACTCTTTTAAATAAAGTCTGTTTTATTCAAGGTCTCGGTGGCATGCTTCAGAGCTTATAATGCTAAAATATGGGGTTTAATCCCTACAGCTGAAACATCACAGATAACCCATTGTGTAGCTCTATAATAAACATTCCTTTATTCATGATTTCCTAAAACCAACATCAGATGAGTGGAAAACTTGGACATTTTTTTATAATTATTTGTTGGTAGTGATGATAAAATTTATAAATGTTACAAAAAAATCATTATTTCTTCTGATGTTACAAGAATGGAAGATCAAATAACACTCTCCTAAACAATCTGTTAATTACACCCTGTATAGTAGGCTTTTTTACAT